ATACTCTTTCTAACTGGATGCCCTGTCATAGATTCTTACGCCTTATCCCTCTCTCGGGGTTTTTTACTTTCTAGTGTCTTTTCATCTGTTAAATTCCACTACCCAGGCTCGGCTGCATGTCCCTTCTTCTCTTGACCCGTCAATCCCAGCTGTGTTATCTTCAGATCCCTCGGATATATGATGTAACCTTCATGGTCACCCTATTTATGAGTACACTCATCCCGGATCCCAGGTCGCTTGGATCCACCTCCACTGTAATGGTACACTCGCCGTGGATCCGAGCTTCTCCAATCATCCAACATCATCTCGCAACCGTCCTGTGATCTCCGTTGTCCCACGAAAGTTCGAGATCCACTGTATCCCTCATCCCTATACCCTGGATCCAGGTCCCTCCAGGCGGGATCCTCCCTCCTTGGATACGAACTCAGGAGTATGGGATCCGGGGTACCTCGCGGTGGATCTTGACTCTTCATTAGCCGTGGCTACTAGATCCACCGTCAGAGGGCACCGACCATCCTTCCTTCATAGGATCCACACTCGATCCACTCTTGTATAGTATATCCCATATCCATCTTAGTGAATCCAGGTAAGGGTGGATCCGAGGTAAGTCTTGGTGGATCTTGCCTTCTCGTACATCGCTCATATCAGATCCATCGTCATTCCATACGGGGTGCTGCTCGCCATGGCTAATCCACCACAGGCAACTTGCACCCGTGCCAAACAACCCAAATCCTCTATAATCACTTGAAATTGTCACTGATTCGGGATAGTGACCCCGCGTCAGGACCATTCTCTTATTTCTGAGAAAGCACTTCACCACAGCAAGCAGGGAGTGGACTTCTTCAACGGTGAAGATGCGTTGCTTGCGCACGTAAAAACGGACAAGGATCTATGAACCCGCCTCAATCTCTCCAACATCATGGTGCGTCCCAATGCAGTTCCACTTGGTAAGTGTATGTGCACTTCAAACTTGTTTCGTGCTTTATGATGACATTTTGAGTGTTTTCGGTGCAGAGCCTTTATTATCTTCGGTCTCGCGTGCCCCAAGTAGATACAAGATCATACAGACAGGAAACAGCCACCGAAGAAGCATTCAAAGACGGTGGAGTCTCGCAAGTCGACAGACAAGAAGAGCGAAGATATACAAACGCCCAATAATAATAAGGAAACGAAGAAGCAAGAAGCCAAGGAAGCAACATTCGGAATCGCCAGGTGTCGTCGTTCACAAACATCTGGGGCGATGCCAATGCTCAAGGTATGTTCATATGTTGTTGTGTGGTGTCTACAGTTGGTTATAACTTGGTGAATGTTTAGACAGGGACGGTTGACAGGTAGAGGCTCCGAATCAACCTCCAGCCGAGCAAGAGCACCACCTTAATGTTGACACGGAAGGTACATACAGATTTATTTACGCTGACTTGAAAAGTTATGTTGACGCGGGTGTGTTTCTAATCTGCAGACGTGTTGACACCCCAAACGACGTTGACGGTCACTCCGGTGAATGCTCGGAAAGTGAATACGAAGACGATCCAAACGCTGTTGAGAAGTGGATGATGGACGCGAAGAGGTTGCGCAGAATTTAATAGCCGAATGTGATTATCGAGAGGATGATGAGGGTGAAGAGGACACCGAAGACGCTTCACTTTGGCATCCAGCTGCTGTAGATACCCATTTCGAGCCCCTTGGATTTGCCGATGCAGAGCCAAGTGACCCCAATCTCGTCCTCGGTGATGTCGAGAAGAGCATCGAGTCGGATGGAGAGGGCGAAGACTCAGTCGGCGTTGCAGATATGCTGGACACAGACGATGAAGCCGAAGCTCTTGTTGATGAATCGGTTGTCGCCAAATCAAGCCGGATCGCCGGTTTGCTGAACGAGGTCGAGTTGAAAAGCTACATATGGCAGTGGAAGGTATGTTGAAAGACGTTGTGTGTTGTGATGACAAAGTCAACTTATTAATCTGAATTTATGCTGACAGGGTCATCCGAAATCTTCGACGACAACCAATTAGCTGATATGGCGGCTCGAGGCTGGACCGTGTACCCTGAAAATGAGATTGCGGACATTGTCGACGACCCGGAAGTTGAAAAAATGTACGAAGGTTACTGCGGACCGTCAAAATATGTCTTAGCATCGGCGAAATCACCACTGTCCCTGTTCTTCTACTTCCTGTCGAGGGCATTCTGGAGGCACGTTGCGCGCGAGACACATCGCTACTGGGAGCAGACGTTTGACGTTCGCCTGGAAAAGGCTGTCGCGAAAGAGGCACAAGTGACCCATCAACCACAAAAGAGTATCGACAAGTTGCGTAGAAAGCTGGTGCGATTTGAGAGGATTGCGCCACATGAAATTGTTCAATGGATTGGTTTGATATTGGCGCACACTTTGAACCCTCGTAAGAGTTTTGAAAAGCACTGGTCTACAACGGAAGACGGCCTGATTCCTGCTGGAGCGTTTGGCAAAGTGATGTCACGAGATCGGTTTCGAGACATCACGAGATTTCTTCATTTCTCGGACAATTAGGACGCTGCAGCAGCTCGTGATCATGCATGGGAAATCAGACCAGTCTTGTCAACGGTGGAGAAGACATTCAAAGAAGGCTACGTTCTCGGCTTGACGTGTCATGGGTACGGCAACGTGTTAGAGTGGAAGTTGATATTGGCAGGAAATACGACGTCGAGGGTGCACAGTCAATGGATACAAAGAGCGGGCCAGCTGCGGTTGTCGAAATGTGGCGTGTGTATTCCGGGGACTTCCATATTCGGGACGACGTGTGGTAATTGCTGATCGCTTCTACACTTCGATTCCCCTGACACAGCAGCTCCGTACCATGGGATTCAACTACGTAGGCACAATCCAGACAAACCGAAAAGGCTGGTGCAAAGGCGTTCAGTATCTGTTCAAGAAACGACCAGCCAGGTACAAGCGGGGATCTTTCACGATGGCCGTAGCGAAGAGTAATCCGGGACTAACTGCTGTCGGCTGGGCTGACAACCGGTATATTTCCTGTCGTCTCAAGTGACCGCGGCATCGACAACGGTGCAGCGGAGGGAGAAGAGTGGAGCGGTGTCAACGGTGCCGTATCCTGGTTTAGTTGATGAATATCAGCGCTACATGGGTGTCGTCGATCGCCACGACTAGTTGCGACTCCAGTCGTACTGTGGTGTAGGGATTTCCAGATTCGACCATGCCAACCTACTTTAGGTCAAGAATCGGCTCGGTCTGATAACCCAGAGCTTAGGAACAAAGGATCACGGTAAGTACTCGGCGATCTGTCCGGATATGCTATCCGGATTGCCGCTGAGCTCAACGGTCGCCTGAACTCAGCTGAAGGGTCGGTAGAGATCCGAAACGACTACATTTCACTAGATATTTGTATAAGAAGCATAGGATTAAATAGGGGGAGCCGAAAGACTCCCAGAAGATAACAGAGCAGAATTTTTCTAGTCCAAGACACGTGTACACTTTTCCGGTAAGTCCCTGCATAGGGCTGGATTATGCCTGCCGTCAGTACTCGAGAGGCATAGCTTGTAGGGTATTGACTGGTAGCGCCAAGAGATTAGGTCGGTCCGGGTAGGACAAAGTCTCGCTACGCGCGAAAGAAAAGGTAATTTACGCGCCTGCTGCCTTCCTTGGATGTGGTAGCCGTTTCTAAGGCTCCCTCTCCGGAATCAAACCCTAATTCCCCGTTACCCGTTAATGCCATGGTAGGCCCATATCCTACCATCCAAAGCTGATAGGGCAGAAACTCAATCGATTTATCGCGCAAAAGCGCGATCCGCACAGTTATTATGACTCAACACAATACCAGCCCGAAGACTGCATTGGTTTCAATCTAATAAATGCTACCCGCCCGACAAGCAGTTGGGTATTGATGCATGTATTAGCTCTAGAATTACTACGGGTATCCAAGTAGTAAGGTACTATCGAGTAGACTATAACTGATATAATGAGCCATTCGCAGTTTCACAGTACAAAATTGTTTATACTTAGACATGCATGGCTTAATCTTTGAGACAAGCGTATGACTACTGGCAGGATCAACCAGGTTTATATCCTCCATACTAAAGAAGACGACAAGTCGCCCCCAGCACAAAACAACAACACAGAGGCAGC